AAATTTAACGCAAAAGCAAAGCAGTCTTCCAGACCAGAAATGGCGATCAGAAAACGGCTTGAAAGCAGACGGATGCTCAAGTGACTGCCCCTACGTCTCTTGGAGACTATCGAAGCTTTCCAAAAATAGCAAACATCAGAGCACATTTCATCAGATCCGTCCCTTCAAACTTTTCTTTGAACCTTTCAACCGAGCCGCTCCACGGGCATCCAGCAAAGCTTCTAGCCAGCATCAAGCAGACAAAGATGCTGGAAATGGAGCAGGCAACAAGTTCAGAGGTCTCTAGAGGCTTTCTTGTCACGAGCTAATGTAGAGCGCTGCATGTCGCCTCCCACACCAAAGCGAACTCTGCTGCAGATCCCACCAAATCCCCGGAGCTGCAATTGCCAGATTTGTCCAAGCATGAGAAAGGTGAATGCAATGCAAGTGATACTGCTGCGGCGTCACAGATGGCAAAACGCGGTTCATTGCTTTTTGCATCCCCTTGTTACTGATAGCTTATCACCACAAGAGTCATGCAAGATGTGCCTCGACTTGACTTTGCTTCCTGTCTCTTGTTGGCCTCACAGGGTTTCTGCAAGTCTACTATGCTGTTTTTTTGAGATCTGAGAATGTGTTTTAGGTTTCGGCTTTGAAAGATAAACCGTTTAAGGTTATTTTGAGTTTTCATGTTTGTCGTTGGTTTGCTTTCATAGAAAGAGAACGCTTAGCTTTTTGTGCAGAGAAGGAATAAAATCCAATAGAACTTTGAAAACTAGCTTTGAAGATGAATGAGGCCCGACGACGAATCAGCAGGTCCGAGGTTGTGGGGGTAGGTTTGTTGAGGGGTTTGGGGTTTGTTTAGGGTTTCGGATGTGGTAGGTTTTAGGGCTTAACGTTGCTTGTATTGATTTGTAATGTCGTGGTTGAAGAATGACGTAGCATTGCTCGCAAAAGCATGCATTGATCTGTGATGTGACTCATAATTTGTAGGGCAAGCCAAAAAAATAGTCGTTCGGTGATTGCATACTGGTTGCAACAGTCCGACCATCAGCATCAGTTTGTGTTTACGGATGTTGGCTCAAAGCTGACAGCACATTGGCAGAACCGTGCCATTTGCTCTTCATTCCCGGGCGGGAAGTGAATCTGCCAGAACCATTTCTGGGCTTGGCGTGAATTCAGATGCCAGCGCCCATGGCTCCGGCCTTCTTGCAAAGATTCACGGGTGGAAACAATCAGACTCCCTTGCAGGCGGGCTCGTTTGAACGGTTTTTCCTCTGATCCTCGTGATGTGCTCGTGGGGGATGTTGGGAGGCAGATTTGAAGCGGGCCACAGAGTCAAATGCCACCGGCCCAGAAACACAGGTGGCTTCCACAAGGATTTTTGAAAAATCGATCATGCAAGTTTTTCATGCAGTCGAGGGTTCATTTTGCGCTGCAAGCTCTGCGGAAAACATGTGCATTGAAGATCTGCCATGTCTAACTGCTGCAACATCGCTCAGGTCATCGAAGTACCCAAGGCCGTATTTGGCCAGTATCGGACGTTGACGTGGGTGCACGCGGAGTTTAAATGGGATCTTGGTCATCTGCCGACGTTGCACCGCAGCAAGCTGAGAAGATGTTTCAGGACGTGCTGACGCTGGTTGTAGAGGCGACGAAGGTGGGTGAAGAGGCATGACCCACAACAGCTTCCAAGTACGCACACACACACACACATGCACACTAGTTCATACAGTTGAGAACAACTGTTGTCGTCGCTGATGGTAGTGCGACCTCGTTGATCATGATTTCACAGACCTTTTCTCAACATCAGAAAGAAGCATGCCTGCACAGGAACGACGTGAGATCATGATGCATCTGCGAGAGTGCCTCGCAGAGCCGCAGGCCGGACATCCCATCATACACAAAAGGTGGTTAGTGGGAGGAGGTCCTTTTGTGTTGGTGTCTGTTTGTTGTTGTCGACGTGTTTCGGCCTGCAAGTGCACATGCAGATAGCCCGGGCTGTCGATTCGTTTTCGAGCCACAGACTCAAATTTTGAAAGTCAGGGGAAGAAATGGCGCCGCATGTATGCCGCCTTGGCGTGCCCCCCAAGGCTAATGTATCACTGTGGTATGGACTGCAAGCTGCTGCAGTTTCGAGTTTTGTTTGCCGAAGCCCACAACTATGCAAATGCAATTCGGTACCAGTCCTTTTTGCGTTTGAGGTTCTCATCGAGGAACTGCTGAAAAATGGCAGTCCCGAGCTCCTCCAAGAAACGTCGGAAGGCTGGTGTTTGGTGAGTCGTTTGTCATAAGGGTGGTCTTGGAAACGTCCAGGTCGATACTTTGACCTCGTCCAGCGGCTATCTCTCTTGGAGAAGTTCGAATGCACAAACGACCTGCGTGTTTGAACCTCAACATCATAGTCGCACTCCGGACTCATGCACTTGCAATTACTTGCCGCTTCCGTTGGTCAAGGTGCAGAACATGGTCCGCACCAAGGCGCCTATCTGTGCCCATGAGACACTCCACAACGGTCCACAACCCTACACAGGCCCGGGCCTGCCCTGGCACTGCACCGAGTTTATCACAGGCCTCTGCGCTGCGGTCCGAGGTGGTGCCGAGGTGCCTGGCTGCACTGAACCTAAAAGCGCGTAGCAGGTGAGGCTGAGGCTGTTAATCTGCTGTCGTGTTGCAGCTGCAAGACTCAGTTTCCGCTCGATGGGGAGTGTGACACAGAATGGGAGGATGCTAAACGTCTGCAGGCTGGAAACTGCTGGTGAGATACCACACAAGCCAGCAGCACCAAGCTCCGGTTCCGCCACCTCAAGCTTGGACCTCGAGAAATGCAGAGAAGACCGGCCCCCGAATTGCAGCATCTTGCCATGAGGTAGCAGAGTTACGAGTGAACCAACAACTGCTGGTGGCTCGACCGCAACTTCCTCTAGCAGCGGCTACACTGGAGGAGCACTGTTCCTTGGAAGCAGTAAGGGATATTGAGCATTGCGATGTGCTCAGTTTCCTTGTCAGAGGCTTGCACTTGTCACCAACTACGACAACTCAGCGTTCAGCTGAGGTACAATATGGCAAAACCGGAGTGCAATGGACTCAGACTTATCTGTTCTTTGCAGATGCCTCCGTAAAGAAGGTAGGCGGGTGTTGGGTTCCGCGTGTCTTGCATTCTGTCGCCTTCAGCAGAGGCCAGATGATTTTAAATGGAGTGGTGGCAGTTGGGCACAACGACGATACCGACAGCGATAGCGCAGCCTGGCAGAGAGCTGTGGAACGCTACAGAGCAGTCAGTTCTCAAAGCTTGAGTCGATGTCTTTACCCAGGACGGAGGCGATGGCCCAAAGAAGGCAGTGGCTTTCCGGAAGGCACAGGCAGCTGCGCTTCCTTCAGCGAGTGGTGGGGCACCTGGATCGGGAAAGCATCGCTGTCGGACACTTGCAAGTGCAAGTGCAGCAAGGTGCCAAGAATGCTTCCAGCTCTGCTGCACCGACCAATCCCTCAAAGGGCAATGTTGACCTGCTGGACCTGTAGATCAGATGGCTGTGTCTCAGGACGGGGTAAGAGCAAGGTACACATCTTGATTCATTGATGATGTACGTAGTCTCAGCATACATGCCAAGTTCCAGTCGCAGAACATTCGGTGCTTGTCTCACGATGCACCGTGCCAGATCCAGACGTCTGAGTGTGCCAAGATTTTTCGTCGCCAAGAAGCGCCAATTCGATGCACAAATCAGCTAGGGAAGCAGGCACATCATGGTCGGAGTTTTCGCCAGAAGTGAATTCGATGTAGTCTCGAGATGGATCGTGAAAGCTCCCTTCAGAGAGCACTCCCTTCTTCGTTTCACCGCCCTGAAAAAGCAGCGGACAACTGGCAACCATGCTCTGCGAGGACTGAGGAGTCGATTGTGAACAGGCTAGTATCTCGTGGTTCTTTGACAGTTGGGCTGAGAGTTGCCAGTGCAGCCGCTTAGACCCACCTTACATAATGCTAAGAGTGGGTATACAGGCTGCACGGCCCTGCACCCGGCATCAGCTGCTGTACCTGCTGTTAGCTTTCTGATTACACGTGGGGCAGTAAAGCCTTTGTGTGTGACAGGAGAAGCACATGATTGTTGCATGCAGTAGCTGCTCGGGGCGCATTCTCTCGCACAGCCTGATACCGACAATGCCGGGATTCGGGATTCAGGATCACGGGGCCGGACGAGCTGTGTTGGAGGGGCCCTATTCAAAGGTCCGAAGACGGCGGAAGGTGAGGTGGGTTGTTTAATGGCCCTAACGTGTTGGATGTTGCTACTTTGACTGTCCAACGGCCCGTGCAAGACTCGGGTTCGAGGGGTTGTCCTTGGCCGTTGCATCTTGGCAGGCCCGAAGGGTGCATGGGCTATCCTCGGACTTGAGAGAACGACGAAAAGCGTGGCTTTCATGCGGCTTTGCGGAGGGTGGGGCTGCTGTGGGATTGTAGGCTTGGGGCATTTTTACGGACTGTGTGTCAATTCCTCGGACGCCGCTTGCTGCATCTGCGGAAGCATCAGCACCAAAGTGTGCTTCGGCAAACGTGGCAGACAGCTCTAGCAGCAAAACGACAGCTTTCCGAGATTGTTGCAGAAAGCTATGGGACTCAGCGTGTGCCGAGTGCCATGAGCCATGAAGTGAAGACGGCAGGCCCCCTGTGTGCTATGCTGCCGTGGCAGAGGTGAGCGTACAGCTGTAAGCCCCTGGCTGCAAGGAGAACCGCCTCAGGACCTCGATCAGTTCCAGTTGTTGACCAAGCTTTTTGGGACAGGAGAGCTTGTGCGCTGGCCAGAAGGGCGCCCTCACCGTGTTCTCAGTTGAAGTTTCTTGTCTTCAGACAATACTTCTGACATTGTTCTCCGCAGCCATGGAAACGTTAAGCAGAGACGTCTCAAGACCTCTCCTTCAAGGACCCATGCAAAACTCTGGCCTGGCCTTAGACTGCAGTGACTGCAGGGGATTCGTGCCTGGGGCCTAGGGCATCTAGGGATGTATAAAAAGAGCCCCTGAGCTCAGCCATGCGCCTCTGCCCTGACGAGTCCATGGCTGGCTGGCAAGTGGAGGTACTAGCCTCGGCGGACGCAGGTAAGAAGTCCCCGTGCCCGATGTTTCTACTGTGTTCCAGTGTCCGGCGTGGGCTCAGGGGACCCGATCAGTCTCGCGCTAGCACGGCGGTGCAACTGCACGTATTGTTGTTGGTGCCGTTCTATGGTGCTGTGTGTGATATGCAACCCCGCATTCATGTCAATGGCATCACAATCTTTTGACAAGCTCTGAGAAACGGAGTGGTGCTTGGCTTTCGGAGCCCAGTGCCTCGTTCACGTTGTTATGACTTCTCGGTCGCTCCGTGCCTCTGCTGCGCTCTGTCTTTCTCTTATGTCGTCTTTCTCTCTTGCCCACTTTCTCTCTTTCAATACCTCTGTCTGCCTGTCTGTCTGTTTTTTCCTTTCGCCCCATGAATCGCGATTTTGGCATTCTTTGAGTGTGCGAGCAATATTAGGATCGTCGGTGCTGTGAATCGTGCAAACACGCACTATCTGCGTAGAAGGGATGCACAGAAACTGCGGTGGACATGGCTCAGACGGTGCATGACGCACTGGCTTCTGGACTTCAGCTAGTTTCCAGCTGACGTCCTCAGAAAACAGTTGAGCCTACACTGTGACACGATTCTGCATTCTCGCGCCTGCGCATTGGCACTCCGTACAGGCCGGTTGCAAACAGAAGTGCGCAAGCAGCCTTGAAAAAGATGCGTCTGAAGACAGATTGAGAGCCACAGTGTCGTAGGCTGTGCAAGCGACAGCGCCCCCTCGTTTAACGTGCAGTGTTTCCGAAGAGAGAAGACGGTGGCTTCCACGGAGTTCGAGGGCGTTGCCTTGAGCCGAGGCCGTCGGCGCCCTCTCGGGCGAGTCGCTGGGGACCGTGACTTTGCCGCCGGACGGGAGCCTCCGGGAGCTGAGGCGCCTCGGCCTTTTTCGAAAGTTCTCTTCGAAAGGGGGGAGGGGTCTCCTCTCTTTTGGGGCCAGGCTGCTCAAGGAAGCTGTTCTGGGTGGGTCGAGCTTTCTGACTTCACTTGCCAGCTGAGATTTCTGCTCATTCCGTTTTGGTGACAGGCCGTCGTTCAAGTCCCGTGCATTTTGCCAGTCCAGACACAGATAGAACAGCATCAGGACCGAGACGTTATCACAGGGCTCAGACTGTTGGCAATCGCAGCGCCTGTGCTGTGTCCTTACGCTAGTACAGCCCTTTAAGCTGGCGAGCTACAAGAAATCCAATGCTCAGGCGCCTCATTTCAAACCTGCCAGGGGTCTCCGCCACCGTGAACTCGGCTGAATAGACCATGTGTTGAGCAATAGCATTATACTAGCCTTTCACACTGACTTCAAGAAGGGCAGCGGTTTTCACATCAGGTCAAGCTCTTTTCCGACGGCGTGGAGCTCCTGGGGCAATCGAGCCTGGCGGATTCTGGGGTCAGGCCACGGCTCACGTTCACCCGAAAGGCTGCACCGCAAGAGAAGCCCAGAGCTTGGCCAGGGATGGCTGCGAAGTGCAGGTGATCTCTGTCCGATCCCTGCAGATGCTCTCAGGACTGCTCGCTGTAACGCGTCTTGCTCCTTAGGTGCCGCCCTGAACGGTTAGCAGAGAGGCAGCCGGAGGTTTCAGGATGGACGTGCGCAGGATCCCAAGACGGCATGGCTCGTCTGTGGGAACTGGAAGAGCGCTCGGAGGCCCGGGTGCCAGGGTGCTCGGATTGAGGGCTCTCCCGCCGATGCAGGCTGGTTTACACAGAAGTTGAGAGCTTGGAGGGCGGAGACAAGTTGCTCACATACGGTTACATGCAGCACCACAATCGGATTTGTGCAGGTAGAGCGGTTCCAGCACAGTGCTGAGCTGAACGGTGTGGCAGCCTCGCCAGAACCGGGCATCTTCGCGTCGGGTTGCAGCGACCGCTCTATCAGCCTCTGGCGCTTCGGCTCCACGGAGACAAGTTGTCAGCTGCAAGGGCACATGGGCCAGGTGTATTCGGTCGACTTCTGCCCGGCTGGCTCTGCGCTGCTGTCAGCGTCTGGGGATGCTACTGCACGCCTTTGGGACCTCGCTTCCGAACAGGAGCTCTTGTGTCTGAGAGGGCACATGCGTGACGTGAACTCAGCCGCCGTGTCTCCGGACGGGCGGGTCTTTGCAACAGGCTCCGACGACTACAGCTTTGCGGTGTGGGACCGTGCGTCTGGAAAGATGACACAGCATTGGGACGGGCGACGCGGAGACGGGCATTCAGGTAGAGTCTATTCCGTGGCCTTCTCACCTGATGGCTTCTACCTAGCCACTGGTGCAGTTGACAAGAAGGCCAAGGTGTGGGACACACGTACTGGTACCTGCCTGCGCTGCTACAGTGGCCACACAGATCTGGTCAATGCAGTCACCTTCTCTCCGGATGGGAAGTTGTTGGCATCAGCATCGGATGACTTTACTTCTCATGTCTGGACCGCAGATACATCACAGGGGCACATAGCTTCCTACAAGCACGATGCTGAGGTGCTAACGCTGTCGTTTTCAGGAAATGGCCAGACCCTGGCCACGGGTTCCATGACCGGAGCCATCTGTCTCTGGGATCTTAGTTCGCACCAGGAGGTTGGATGCTTTGGTGTCTGCCAGGATCGCGAGAAACCCACCAGGTACGACAGGGTCACATCCTTGTGTTTCCCACCTACTTAAGCTCGCGACACGATTTTCATGCTTGGTCTTGGGTCGGGTTGCAAATTGCGATCCTCCGAGATGCAACACGTACGTACGCTGCTACATAGCTTTAAACTGCAAAGACAGTTCGGCCGAGACAGTCCTTCTGAATTCGGCCAAGGGTTTGTTACCAGCCAGCTAAGTGGTGCTCATTTTCGAGTGGAGTGTGCCCTCCCTTCCAGCAGCAAGCCTGCAAAAGCCGACCTGGTTGAGCCTTCTCGTGGTGAGATAGGGATCATAGCATAATGCGGCCTCTGTGAAATTGGTCTGAGTCGGCGGCGTTATCGTGGGAACAGTTGCAGGAGAAAGCGCAGCCTGCGGCGTGCCAAAGCTCCAGCTGGTGGCTCATATTCCGCAGCATCGGGGCAGTGGCAACGTTTCCCGATGCTCGGGTGGCGATGCAACTCTTTGATCTGGTTTGTCAGTAGGATCATTCTCGCTAGCGGTCATACCACTTGTAGTGGTTGCAAGCAATTCGTCACTAAAGCCTACAAGAGCATTAATGCGACGCTCAAGCATGCTGTTTCAGGCTCTGCGCTTAGTCATTACTGGTATCATCATTTTTCGGTTCATGTTACTAACAAGTATGACTACTACCATTGCTATATTACTACATTACTATATTGCTATATTCCTATCTTACTGTGTTACTCTATGTCACTGTCCTGCTATGTTGCTATGCTGCGATGTTACTATATTACTAGTACTAGTAGTTTTTTTTACTACTGTTGCTAGATACTAGCACAGTTGTTATTATTATTCTTATTATTATCTTCACTACTACTAACTATTACTCTTACGACTACGATTACGACTTCTATTGCTATTACTATCGATTTCGCTCTTACTCTGACTCTTACTATAACTTTTACGATTACACACTTGCGATTACGATTACGATTGCTATTACGAGTACTACTAGTACCGTTACTATCATTATCACTAGCACTTTTTTACTATCACTATCGTTATGGCAATCCTCATTGCTCTGACTATTGGTGCTGCTATCCCGATTACCATTGCCATTGCTACTGCTGCTACTATGACTATGTCTATTCCGATCATACATGATGATCATCGTCATCACTGTTGGTCTGGGTGTGGTTGTTCTCATTGCTGATACTTGTTACCATCGATTATTTGAGATCAGGCTCCTGCCCGGTGGCTGTCGAACTTTGGCGGTCGGCGAGGGTGATTTTGCCTTTTCCGAGGCTCGGGATGTCTTACGGTCTTGATTTCGATTGTTTTCAGCCCGAGTTTCGCAAAACAACTGTAGTTCATGATTATGATCATGATGATCATTGGTGGTGGTACTGCTCTTATTGGTATTTATCCACACCATCGCTACCAGGGGCTGTCCGCTTCCCGGAGCTGTACTGGCAGTGCCCCGGAGCTGGTGGTGACCTGTCTGGAGTCTGAGGCTGGGACGGAGGATTATTCGTTTCCGGGGTTTCAGGGTTTGTCCCTTTGACGTCCGTGGGCCATGCGGATCGATTTTGTCATATTCTGCAAGCACTTGTGCCTGGCAGGAGGACATCAGGAGCCAGTACGCAGGCTGGCAGGATCATGTGTTCTGGACTTGCCGCATCGCAGATCGGAGTGAGCTTCACAGAGAAAGTTTCTTGAGCCATAACCGCCCCGGGCCTTTCCAAGTCCCCCGATTTCCCGTTGCCAGATGCTGACCAGCGCCTGGCGCGCCTGCGGGGTGCCGGCGCCAAGGCCGTTCGTTGAAAGGAGAATCACCTGTTAAGTTATAGCGTAGTATCTTGTAGTTTATTGTATGCAAGTAAGTTAGAATTATATGATTTGATCACATCAGGGTGCACCTTTCATCAGGCACACACTTGTTCAGGTCCAGTGCAAGGGGTGGAAGAAGGGGTGAATTCCATCCGGAGAGGTGATTTGCGGCGTGGACGCCACGGAGCTCCTGAAAGGACCGCTGGTGGACGAAGAGCCCTTTGAAGTGGGGCCCCCAACTCACCAAGTCACACTAGACTGGACAGATGGCAGCAACTGAAATTGCTGCCAGCGCATCGTCTTCAACTTCCCACTTCTGCCGACGAAGGTGCACAAGGCGGGATGGCGAGCTCGGAGATGTCTCTGTTGATGCATTATTGCCGGTCCTTGGAACCACATGCACCCTGTCAGCCCCGGGCATCGAGCGCAGACGTGCAGATCGCAAACCGCGCCATGCTGGTCGAGTCCAGCTGCCTAAGTTTGTAGTCCTAGCCTCCTAGCTGCTTGTCTACTACTTCAACTTCTTGGTGTTGTAGCACCGGGAACATCCGAGTGCCGCCAGGTTTCTGCGAGGTGCAGCTACCTTCCTGAGGCATCCTCAGGGTAGGGGAGGAGAGGAGGAGTGCCAGTCCTTGCATCTTCAGAGGCCCCAAACCGAGGGACCCCAAATCTCGGTTGGCAAGCGTTTGGACTTGTACGGGACCATGCTAGAATATGCTAGATGTGTATTTGGCTGTTTCTGTCGGTGGAGCAAAAACAAGCTTGCAAAGGAAGGATGGTCTGCTTCTGATCGCCAACAAGGCGGGTCAGATCAACCCATGCACCGGTAGATGCATGTTGCTGTTGCTCGATTACCAGAGTTTTGGCAACGGATCCGTCCTGTCGCTCAACATCGCAGCGCGCTTGTGCTTGCTTGTTCACCTGCTTTCGCTGAAATCGCTTTTGCTCAAGATGTCTCTCCACGTCGCAGCGCGTGCCGACAGCTCCACCCACCCCACCTACGAACGGCCGAAAGTCCTCCCTCCACTCCAAGAAGAGCACCGTCAGAGAGCAAGGCTTCACAATTGGCAGGGGCTGCCCCAGAGGGTCCCAGATAGCCTGAGCAAGCACCACGCAGTGCAGAAGTATGGCGTTTCTTCATCTTTTGCAGCGCCCTCTGTCATGCCATTGTTTGCGCCCGGGCGCCGGAAAGAGCGCAAACCGTCGACACCATCCCGACAAGGCCCACTTTGATGGAGAGTTGTACTTTACTGTGTGGATGTGCAGCAGGTGCGCCCCGGGATTCCGGCCCGCCGCGAGATGCCACCCTGCCTGTGGGCAGGTTTGGCAGTGCCAGGGTCCCAGTGTCCCAGTGTCCCATCAAGAAGTCGCAGCTTATCTCAGATATGCTATAACATACTATGATATACTATAATATACTATACTATCCAATAATATTCTATAATATATTATAAGGGTGAGAGCCGGGAACCAGGATGCCGCTCCCACTCCAGCCGCTGCCCGTGACGAGATCCGCGAGGTCCGGGGCCTCAGATCCTTTGTCTTGGGCTTTCGAATGCCTTCGATTCCTTGAGAGAGCTGTGGTGCAGTTGCAGAGCAAGATACCGCTCTTGGCCGTTTCCGGAGCGCTTTGCCTTTCACGCACCCAACCGTCACTGTGGATTGTGCTGTATTGAGGTGACTCGAAACTTGCAGCATCTACAGGCGGACTTGATGAAGCCCTTGCAGGTACGTCAGTGCCAAGATGGCAGGAAGCAAACGCCAGACTTTTTTTAAACTTGCAGCTGGCAATAGGAAGCGCTCGACAACGAGCCCAGTTAGCAGCTCAGCTTACCCTGCCGGTGCGCCAGGGCTGCTCCAGTTCTGCTGGCTGTCATGTTACGGGGCCTTGAGGCGAGGACATGGTCCCTTGGGTGGACACTCTGCTCAGCGAAGTGGAGACGCATGGCTGGCCTGTGTGCCTCTCCTCGACACATCACATGGCAATGTTTGTATGACAGGCAGGTGCAGCAGTTGCAAGAGCAAGCTCAGATCTGCATGCGGGGGGTCTCAGCTCGGAGCACGCCATGGTCTTTGATTTGAAGCCGCAATTTTGAAGCTACCGGCAAAGCATCAACCGGCAAGGGAGCACGATCACTTTGACATTGCAGAGCGGATCGCCGGTGCCTTACGGATGCGCAGAATGTGCAGCGCATGTCAAGTTAGATATTTTCAGGCATCAAAGGCCAGGTCGCAATATGTTTATAGAGGGACAAACTTGGCTGGTACAACGTTCCAGTGTTTCAACTTTTCTGCGTCGTTGCAGTCGGAAGCAGGAACCCGGCCTGCAAGTCTTTTGTCTCTGCACAAACGCCCAGACGGCAGATGGCAGGTGAACTGCGCATCGGACTTTGAGGAAATGCGCGGGTTCCTCAGCTCCGGCACTCTGCTCTGGAGTCTGCCCCAAGAGAGGCATTAAAAACCCTGAAGGGAGACTTTCCAGGTGTCCGGGCCGCCTCGTGGAAGGAGGCACTTTGGGTCTTTTTGGCTGTCGACGGGCTCGTCCCTGCGTCGAGAGCTATTCGGGCGGGGGGGGGTTCTCTGGAGCTCTGTTTGAAAGACTCTCGAGAGCACCGCTGGTGTACGATGAGCCTCCATCCCCAGCCAGTGGGCTCAAAGGCTTAAGCCCTCAACATCAACCCGTGTGCCTGATCGCTCGAGATCTTCAGGCAAAGCGCTACTTGTGTCCAGGACTGCCAACTTTCAGCGAGAAAGATAAGAAGGCTCTTCAACCGGAACAGGATTTCTGAGCTTGAGACCAAGTCTCGGCTCATCAACCCTCTTTCTTGCAGCAGATCGCAATTGCCACCTCTACTTCTCCGCCGGAAACGACCTCGGGAACAGAACTCACCATGAAAAAAGCCACAACAATAACAATTACAACAAGAACAACAACAGCAGCAACAACAGCAACAGCGACAGCAACAGCAACAGCAACGGCAACAACAGCGACAACAAGGAACGAACAACAAGGAACGAACAACAACAGGAACTGCAACTGCCCCAAATCCACCCAAAGACCTTTCCGAGCCACGTACACTTTCCGCAGGCAGCGAGTCAACGTGCATCTCGCGAGGCTGAGGCTGCGGCTGAGGCCGCGAACCGTGGAGTCTGTCAGGTTTGTGACTTTCTGTTGGCGTTTAACGGCTCCAAGAAGCTGATGGAACAGTAGGTTGTGGAGAATGTTGTGAAGATTTGTGAAGGGCCACGCATATAGGGCCTGGTCTTATGGGAGTTGAGGGTTCGTTTCAGTTTTGGGGTTCAGTGAGCTTGAATTTCTGCACAGTGGTCGTTTCGACAGGACCCGCCTCCTACAGCACGAGATCGGGCGCCCTCAGCACCTCGCCCGACAAAGTCTATTGTCACTGCTTTTATGACGTGCGGCATTACTGGCTGTATGGTCTTTCTGTCCCACTCCAGTCCTTTTGCTTTCAGAGGCTCTCTCGCCGCAAGTGGGTCGTCTCGCTTCGATTAAGTCGGAGGCCATCCGGAATGACGTAGATTTGCTCATAGGATGCGGCAGTTTGCAGCATTGACATGAAGTGTGCATGTCAATGTGAATCTGCAGGGCACGCCGACGGATTCCGCCTTTGGCAGTGTGGCCTACCCGGACGCCGTCCGACTTGTGGGAGCTGTTGAGACCAGTTATGTGCGACTGAGGCACAGCCATCCCCAGCCTCACGGCCGCCGGCACACTCCCAGGCTCCATACCGGAGCTTCACCGTTGCGGCAGCACAGCAGCTCACAAGCTTGACAGGCTGTAAGTCAGTGTAGGCCCGACGTGCACGCAAAAGGTCACAGACGCAGTTGCCGCCTTCCAGCTTGCCAGGGCAGCCCAAGTCCTGCTGCAAGCCCTGCCTCCAGCGCAGCCCGACTGCAGTGAAAGTTGGAGGCTGGCACAAAGCTCTTGCTTCTGTAGCTCGAACTATTGTGTGGGGATGGGGATCTTTTACAATCGACGAGGAGCCCTTTACTGATTGCTTTGTACAGTGAAACTGAAACTGCAAGGAATCGCCCCGAATATTTTTTTGGATAACAGTGGTGGTTGGTGGTCCGCTGCTGACACAGAGTGGGCCTCCTTGGATGCAGTGTGGATGTGTGTGGATAATTGTGGATAAGGTACCGCCGTCACCGGCAAGATCAGCAGACGTGTCACAGGCCGGATCAGCCTCTCTGCGTGTCGATGTGGCGTTTCCGAGCATACGGCGGGGGAGGCAGAACGAAACGTGGTGACGGTAACAGTCTTGTGCTAAGCTGTCCAGGCGGCAACGTCTCCGAGTGCTGGCCCGTTTGGGTCTGTGAAGTCGCAGGTGCACCAGTCGAGTGGTTGGCAGAGTTGACTTCCAAGCCCAGTCTTCAATAAGATCTGGACTCTGTCGTCACCAAATATAAGCACCACATAGACACGTGGGACAAGTGATACGTGAAGAGCAACGCTGCATGTGGGAGGCTGCGCAGTCACCGACTTCCGGTCCCTTTGGCTCCATGAAATCGCAGGTGCTTAGCCAGCTGACGTTCTCCTTGAGGGCCATGTGTTGCAAGCGAGCCCAAGCCACGGTTGATGGTTGATGCGAGGTGCCGCCATCGCCCGCAGGGCCCGCAGATGCGTCCAGATCGCAGGCATGCATGAGTGACACATTCACAGGTCCGCTTGAAATAACAGTTTTTGTTGGCTCAGGCGGCACAGTCTCCAAGTGCTGGCGCATTTGGGTCCGTGAAGTCGCAGGCACTGCAGTCGAGTCGCTAGCTGCCCGTCTCCGGGAAGTGGTTCGCCAGCGGACATGATTTCCTTTTTCCGATGTCATGCTGTCGCCTGGTGCACTTGGTGCCATAGCTGCCGTGCGTTGCAAGGGAGCCTAAGCTACGGTTCATTGATGGGAGGTGCCGCCATCGCCAACAGGGCCGGCAGCGGCAGATGCGTCCAGATCGCAGGCGTGCGTAAGTGAGGGATCAGCCTGGCGTATACCTGCAAGCAGCAGTGAGTCGTAGGATAGCTGGAGCATGGCTTGCATGAGACGATGTAGCTTCATTTCCACATTGAGCGAGCTCTTGAGGCCCCGCAGTCTCCGAGTGCTGACCCCTTTGGGTCTGTGAGGTCGCAGGCACACCAGTTGAGCTGTTGGCGGTGCTGCCTTCCAAGTCCTGCTGTCACGCCGTCGCCACCATGGTCGAGGGACCAGTGATGCGGGTAAAGCAGGAATTCATGTGCCTGCAAACGCTGCATGTGGGAGGCTGCGCAGTCACCGACTTCCGGTCCCTTTGGCTCCATGAAATCGCAGGTGCTTAGCCAGCTGACGTTCTCCTTGAGGGCCATGTGTTGCAAGCGAGCCCAAGCCACGGTTGATGGTGGATGCGAGGTGCCGCCATCGCCCGCAGGGCCAGCAGATGC